TATATATGATTGTATATGAATTACGTTTAAATAGCTAACCTTCTTGAGGATACTAAGCTGGCATCAAACCTAGGTGGTGGTGGTGCTTCCATACGTCCTTCATTTGTTGTTGTACGTTTACGTTCGGAAACTTCAGCATACCGATCATCACTAGTGTGCTTCGAATGACGTTTGATGGGTTCCTCACGAGCTTGTAACATTCTATACTCAGTACAATAGTCGCATAACCGGAAGAGAAGAAAGGAGAATAGCAAAAGAAATTGTTAAAATTTGTAGCAAGAAAAGAATATAAATTTCGCATTTGAAATTTACATTTCTCTACTTTGTATTTTTTTGTTTTTTTTTTTTTTTCAAAGTATGATTAGGGAAATTTTAAAATGAAATTCGCATTTGACATTTTGTCATGCTATTTTTAAATGTATAAAATTATTATTTATTTTTTTTTATATTAAATAGTTACGTGTGGAATTATGCGCAATGCATATAAACTGGATAATTGAAATCGGTTTGAAAATCAAACATTTAAAATATGTAAAAATTAGTATATTCAATGCATTTTTAATATTTATTTTGCACTTAACGCGTTTTGCATACTTCATTTGTTGGCGCTTTAGCTCAAGTCGTTCCAGTTCAATTTTTTCACGTTCCAACTTTTGACGCTCACGTTCCAAACGCATAAGCTCAGCCTTTTCTCGTTCAAGACGTTCACGTTCCTGAGCCAACTTTCTGCGTTCTTCTGCTAGACGAATTTCTTCTTGACGTTGACGATCGCGTATCTCCCGGCGACGACGTTCCTCTTCACGCAATTCTCTTTCCTTTTGACGCAAACGCTGACGTTCCCTTTCTTCGCGTATCTTTTGATAAGAGAGAATTTCGCGTTGACGTATGCGCTCGCGTTCACGTTCCCTTTCGCGTATGCGCTGTTCACGCTCTTTATCGACTTCCTTGGAACGAACTGGGTCACGTGAACGTTTATTGTCATTTGATTTTTCATCTTTGGCTTCTTTATCATCTTTTTTATCCTTTCCCTTATCTTTGTCCTTATCGTCTTTTTTAGTATCACCAAGTTTCCGTTTTTCATCATAAGGTTTGGCACCATCTTTAGCAGAACTTTTTTTGTCGTCATCTTTCTTTTTGGATGCTGAACGCGAACCTGTAACTTTTGCTGAGTCCTTAGCTCCGTTTGATGTATTACCAATTTCATTTTTTGTACGTTCCACAGATATAATGCGGCCATGCAGTTCAGTCCGGTTCAAATTTTCGATACAACGAGTAGCATCAGATGATGATGACATTGTAACGTAACCGTAACAACGGGAACCCGGTGTACGCGTATTTGTAACAACCTTTGCACCGATTACTTTGCCATACTTGGAGAAAATTGTTTTCAAGTCACTTGCACGTGTCAATGTTGATAAACCGGAAACCCATAAATTACGTGATGGAACTGTAGGCTTTGAGGATTTCGATGAGATGCTAACAGTTGATGCATTAGTAGTCTTTTCTGCAATGTCCATACAAATAATAGCGGAAGAGTAAAGTTGAAAATTATTATATTATTTCATTAAAAAATTTATTTTTATGTTGTACAGACTGAAGCATTTAGAACATTCTCGTCTGCTTTTTTGACATAATTGTATTGTTTGAATCTATACACCTAAAACTAAACACTATTACAACAATTAGTACTGTATTTAATATTATTTAGCACAAGTAAGAGTGTGAATTTATTGATTTGACTGTAGTTGCTAACTGGAGAAGTGGATACGATACTGCTGCGGTTGCGTTGATGTTTATGATTATTTGTTTTCTGGAATATCAGCAAATATTTAGCTAAAAAGAAATTAAATGTTGAAAAATAATTGTATTCATTAAACTTTTTTTATTTAATTAATGTGTTGTTGTATCCGCATTTGAACTTTTTTTGAATATGAACAACTGCCTCTGTCCTCTATTGTGATTCAGTCGCTTTGCCTCCGTGTTTGTCGTTGCTTCGAAACGGGATATGTCTATATGAGAAACATAATGTGGTCCCTTTAATATAGATGCTTTGTCCTTTACAAAAATAATGTTGGCGACTAATCCGTTCTAGATACTTTTTGAAATGTGTTGCATTTTGCAACGTACAAAAATAATGTAGCACTGTCCTTTGTTGATAAGATTGTAAATTGCTTTACCGAATTTAATAGCAGCCACAGAATAAGTTTTATTTTACCTTTACATTCATCCATTTAATTAATTCCACATGTGCGTTGATAGTCTGCATACCACAATTTTCGTTGGAAATGATAGCTATAATGATATGGAGATGTTTTCAAAAAGAGAAATAAAAACAATTGTTGACCTAATCCTGTAAAAACATATTTCAGCTATCTTTTGGCTGGCTCCATGTAGTTGTAAACTCGTTTCTGTTGATCACGTCTTTCGACACTTCCAAAAAGATTTACTGGTCGTCAAGCAAACAATATAAACCAATAGCGTGCCAATCCACAAAGTCTCGGAATTATATATAAGCGAGTTGTAGTCTTGGAATAAACGATACAGTTGAATCCACTTAACAGTTAGGAGAAAACTTTCATATCAGCAATAGTTTTAGCGACTGATGATTTTAACCACAAAACACACTGAAGAATGTAAACTGCATATTATAACACAGTTTAAGTAATATAGCAGCATAATTATGCTACTTGTTGATCCAGAATTGTTCACACACCATTCACACCATGAAATATTGTTGAAATTTATATATTCTTCACAAAATGATGGGTGGATACTTTTTTCATATCCATAATCAGCATTAAATGATATATTATTCACACAAAAATTTTGTGTGGTAATGGTTATGAGTAACTGCAACTGAAGTAGAAAATATAAAGTGAAGTAGAGTAGATCCCTCAGATTTTGTTTTGTTATTTTGGGATATTTTCTGCTGCTTAAACGTCTAATGATGAAAAGGTATAAATAACCTTCAAAAGCAATTATTGACAATGTTGGTTACTGTCTGTCTTCAGTAAAACAGATCAATTCTCGGGCCTATCCACATGTACATTTGTTCAACAGATTTAAAGGCTTATGCATTTACACCACCCAATAAGAATGCTGTATTGCTAGCTTTTAGAATTATTCACTCGGCTACTATTTGGTACTTGCACTTAGTACATCTGGTATATGTATTGCATACTGTCAGTCGATTGACTCCTCTTAAACTACTATAATTTTGAAGTCATTTCACGCTGTAAGCACAAACACAATTTTATATAAACCAGCGTTAACTCATTTCCCTTCTATTTAGAAACATTATTATGCTACTTTATGCAACCTTTATAAATATGTTCATAACTCTTGCTGCCATCTTTTCATCTGTTGTAGTAACCTTTAGTCCTCAGAAATATGCAATCTTCAGTTTTGTAAAATCCTTCAGCAATTGATTTTAGTGAAATCCTTCTGTGTCATATCAATCAAATTCACACTCTTTACCTTAAGCACATTTTACAATAATTGTTTTCAATTTCGAACCACAAATTTTTTTCATGTTTCGATTAACAAAACTAACACACACGAAATTATTTGAATGTTGCTAACTTCTACGTATTTACCTTTTTCATCCTTATGTGACGATTTTGTTGACGATTTATGTTCACTGTATAATGAATAATTAAAACAAAAAAATTTTATGAGTATTTTCTGCTTGTGTTGCATGAGGTATAAGATATTTTTGACTAAAATAATAAAGCACAAAGTCGACATAATAAAAAACGTATATCCAATAAAATTAAGCAATTTTGCAATTGCGCTATCCATCATACAAATTTCTGTTTGTATGATACTTTTCTGGGTTTTCTGACACAGCTACTGTTTTCTTAAATTCGTATGTTTCATAAATTAAATAGTTTTGTATGTTCCTCAAAAGATTAACTTTGCACTTTATTATTTTCGTTAATTACGCTTCAACCAACCTCGTGTCTTTTTTGTCAATGGACTTCTCTTCTTTTTTCTTATTTTTGTTGGAAGCCTCATCTTTGCCACCCTTTTTCTCATCTTTTTTTCCTTTGTCGATATTTTGTTGTTCCTTAGCTGAGCTCTTATCCTTTTGTGATTTGCTGGCTTCAGCTATTCATTTTATTATTTATAATATCGAAAGATATGTTATTAACATCTTAATAGCAATTTAAATGAGATTATATATTACTGAAGCAATATAATAGAATATTGCAACGAGTAATTTTGGCTTCCCACAGAATATGAGTTTAGAGGTTGTTATATACATATTTATACCATATTGCATTATATGCATTTTATTATATAACATATATATAAATACGTATAAAACACAAATAGTTATGAAATATATACATCAAAGTCAATATATACGCATATTAAGGAGTGCATCATAAACATACCTGTTTTTTCCTTTTCATCTGCAGCCTAATAATGAAAAATAGTTTAATAATTTTATTTTCAATAAATTTTTGTACGTTTGAACTTACTTCATGTAATAATTGTTGCTCTTCTTCGCCAATTGTCAAATTAATTGATTCTTCGGTGTCATGATTATTATTTTCACTAATTTCTTCTTCGTCCTCTTCTTCGTGCACTTCATCACCTTCACCACGTTCATTTTCCTCATTTTCTTGTTCATCAGCGTCAGCATCAGCATCGACGTCTGCTTCAGCATCTGCATCATCAACATATTGAGACTCTTCATCTTCATTTTCAATGATAACACACTCGTCATCTACAGTTCCCACTTGATCAATCTCGTCATCAACGTTCGCATCTGCATCGCCATTTTCATTACCAGACTGAAATCCATCACGACTGTCTTCTGGGTAACCATCCATAACGGGTTCTTCCTTTATTTTTATTTCTTCCGTTCCAGTTCTATCTTTAGATTTTGGAGTTATTTTATCTCCACTTTTAAAAACGTATTTCTGAGGATCATGGCCTTCTTGCTTTAAGGCCTTTAAAAAAAAATATTTACTCACATTTTTATTATTGACGCAAATATTAATAAATTAAAGTTTTAAGAGCAATAAAATACACATTACAAAACTTTTAAAATATTAATATATAACATTGAAAATAATTACTAATACCTTTTCTAAACGTTCAACTAATGTGGCCTTAGCACCAACAGTATCCATTTTCCGTTTCTCAAGCTGAAGTTTCAGATCAGAAACCCTTAATTCACTTAACTTTTTACCAGTTTCAACCATTTTGTTTACAGAGGTATTTCTTTAAATTGTGTTTTAACTTCAATTAACGACTTCTAAAGCTTGCTATGATCAAACTACTTTTCTTAATATTGCGACAGTGAAAAATTCTACTTTTCTGTATTGAGTAACAAAGCAAAATGGCTGCCAGTCAGCACGCTGATTTGACAATAGTAAAAATCGATAATACAGAACATTTAACTAGATGTGTCAAATTTATTATATGACAAATTTATGATGCATTCAAGTCCGGTAATCGGATATTTGGTAAAATGAAAAAGTGAATATGTAAAATTCATGTAAAATACGTTTCTTATTTAAAGTTTATTTCTATAAATATTTTTGTAATTAATGTTTGTTATAACCCTAAATTAGATATAATCAGACCTCATAAAAAAACATCAGACTTGATACCTTTGTAATTCATTAACATTGTCACATCGTAATTTCACAAAACATACATTAAACAAACAGTTTTGGTTATTAAGGTCGTGTGCGAGTTCAAGTAAATTGATAATTAATTGGGGGAAATAGTTAATTATGTAGTAATGGCAGCAAATGCTGGTATTTACCAGAATTTCGAGTAGGGTAAATTAGGTGTTACCATTGTGTGTGTGGAAATTTTATAAGATGTTCAATAAATAAATTTTAAATTAATAAGTGAAATAAATAAATGAATAAATATTTACATAAATGCAATGCAAAAAATACTTAGGAAATTTCAATTTACTTTACCTCAATTTACTCGATCTCACGCACGATCATAATATAGACATTATTAAGGATTCAAAAATGTTTGTCAACTGTAGTCATATTTGCTAGTGAGTTCAAAACGGCATTGCAAGCTAGTATTTGTTGCCAATATAGTAGGTTCATTAAGAACGTGTGCGAGTAAGGCTAAGTTGCGTTCTAAATGATGAAAACTCGAAGTTGTGCCGATAATGTAGTGATGTGTCGATACGTGTTGATAAATGGGTAAATGGCCAAATCTCCCATTTAGTTTAGCATCAACTTAGCTTAACTCGCACACGTCCTAAATTACAAGCAGAATATAAACAGCAAACAATAAAATTGCTTTTTAGAAACACCTTGAAAAAAGCATGAAATAATGAAAACATCATATAAAAGTGATAATTTTCATGTTAAAAGTTTAAAATATATTTTTTAATGTATTTAAAAAAATTTTTCATGATCACTGTTATATGTTTATGATTTATATATAGGCCGGGTGCGAGTTCGAATAAATTGAGGTAAAGTAAGTTGAAATTTCCTAGGGAATTTTTGCACTGCACATATGAAAATATTTATTTATTTATTGCACTTATTTATTATTTTTCGTTAAAAGTTTTCTAATTTTTTTATTTATTAAACATCTTGTAAATTTTTTACAATGGTAACACCTAATTTATCTAATTCTTATTTAGGTCGTATGCGAGAAGGCTAAGTTGATGCTAAACCAAATGGGAAATTTTTTGGGATTTTTTGCACTGCACAGATTTAGCTATTTATCAACACGTATCGACACATCACTACATTACCGGCACAACTTAGAATTTCCCTCATTTAGAACGCAACTTAGGACGTGTGCGAGTTAGGCTAAGTTGCGTTCTAAATGAGGGAAATTCTAAGATGAGCCGATAATGTAGTGATGTGTCGATACGTGTTAATAAATGGCTAAATGTGTGCAGTGCAAAAAATCCCAAAAAATCTCCCATTTGGTTTAGCATCAACTTAGCCTAACTCGCACACGACCTTAGCCTAACTCGCACACGACCTTAATTTACGCTACTCGAAATTCTGGTAATTACCAACATTTGCTACCATACCGACATAATTTACCATTTCCCTCAATTTACTCGAACTTGCATACGGCCGACATTGATTAATTGATTTATTAAATAGCTTATGAAAATATCAAGATGGCAGCACTAAATTTATGTCAAATATAATTCAATGTTTTACTGCCTTATCGATACAATTTAGCATTTTTAGCAATTTAGTTCAACTCACACGCATCCCAAAATTACTTTACTAATGGATTTGCATATATTTATTTAGTTATATATTGAAGTTTGTTAGATAAATTTCGATAATTTAATTGTGTTTAGTGTAAATTTATTACTGTATATATTGTATTATCTTATATGGAAATGGATAATGTAAATAATAAATTAAATACTGTATTGGGACTATTTATGAACATAATTAGTTTAAACAACCGACGCAAGTTGATTGCAAAGCGATTGGAAAGTAAATATCCACAGGTAAATATATTATAATTTCATTAAAATTAAAAATGAAATAAGAATTTTGATTTTTCAGCGCAGAATGTTATGCCAGGGTGGATATTCTTCCAAAATATTTAAATTAGTTATGCAAAAAGATAATGCGACTGTACGAAAATATTTAAGGCTTACAGTAACTTCATTAGAGAGTGTATTTAATTATTCTAAACAGTTTCTAAAAACTGAGAAGGGCTGGAGCTGCTATTTCAATATTACTGTGTTTCTGTATTGGCTTGGCTGTGGAGCAAGCTACCGAGTAACAGGAGCTTCATTTGAAATATCCAGATACACGGTGCGCGATATTGTACATAAATGCTTAAAAGGTTTCCTTACATTTAAATCTTCTGTTATCAAATATCCAATGGAAAGTGAGTTTCCCGAAATTTCAAGACAATTCAATCAACTAGCTGGTAGTACAATTTTCGATCGTGCATTAGGTGTAATAGATGGAACACATATACCTATAGCTGTGCCTACACGACTTCGGGACGAATATATGAACCGAAAGTCTTTTACATCTCTTAATTTGCAAGCTGTGTGTTCTAGTACAAATAAATTTTTATCTATTTGCGTTGGTTTCCCAGGGTCTATGCCTGATGAAGCGGTTTTATATAACAGTGAGTTATTCAATACACATAGTTTTCCACCTGCAGGTTACTACCTATTAGGTGATAATGCGTATTCTTGTCGAGCTAGTCCAATAGGCATTTTGACACCATATAAAAGATTGCAACCGTTAACAGCAAGACAAAAAAAATTTAACGCGCTCCACAGCAAGGCCCGGTCTATTATTGAAAATACATTTGGTACGTTAAAACTACGTTGGCGGTCGATTTTCGATAATGTACTTAGGTTAAAAGTCGAACATTGTATTGAAACAATAGCTGTAGCATGTGTAATGCATAATATATGTCTGAATGATGGATTTGAAATTGATGAAAAATACAATATCTCAGAGGACTTGAAATATGAAGAAGTTCTGATTGAAGACGAAAACATTGCTGCTGCAGTTATGCGTGATGAAATTGCAAACAACATTCGCCTGTAATTAATAGCAGAATCTTTTCATTTATAAATTATAGATTATATAAATATAGTAGTAAAAAAATTACAAGCAATTGAAAAATTAATTTAAATACTAAGTTACTATTTTTTTAATAGTAAATAGTAAAAATAGTAAATTTTACAACTAAGTAAATAAATACTATATAATATTGCTACTTTAATGCTGATGTGCTGCCCCAGAAACAGCAAGGTCTATAGAACCCTTTGTGGTAAATCCTGACATCTTTTGATGACAGAATGTCGAAAACCAAGAGAGGATTGTAGTTTAAATGTACATTTATGATATTCAAATTACGTTAAGGCTCAAATTTTGATCGGGTACTTTTGGTAAATATCGAATATTGTATTAAAACAATAACAGCATATTATTTCTGCAAATGTACATATGTGGATATGCAGAAAAAATGTTTAAATGATTAATTCGAGATTAATAAATGGCATAACAAAATAAAAACAAATTGTAAATTCATAGTTTTTGAATTTGTACATAAATGATTTAAAATATGACATAAAGTGACCACAGTTATAAAAAACTATAACTGTTAAAGTAAAAATTTAAATTTTTTTTTTAAATGTCCAAACGATAATGTCGAAAAGTAAGTTTTGCATTAAAATTTTATGTAAATTACTTAAATAAATGTCATGTAAAAGGTTTATCATACATGTGGAATTATGCAGTACATGTGTTGTTATTTAAAATATTAAGTGTATATTTTATGTTTACATTGAGAAAAACTCAATTTGTTGTTTTTTATTTATTTACTCTGTTTTCATCATATTAATTTTGTAAAAATAATATTTACAAAATATTCTTAAAATTAAAACACATATCAATTTTTGTAAATAATTAGTTCTAATTTATTTTAAACAAATATTAAATTTTAAATAACAATATTAAATTCTGTGAGAAATTCGTTTTCATTTTAATCAAACTTAGTAAATATTAAATCTTTTAATAGTAATTCATATTTAAATCTTCTTTATAATTATGATGTAAAATTAATATATTTTTTAATATTTATGTATAAAACATTCAAATAAGATGTGTTTCACTATGTATTATATTAAGGTCGTGTGCGAGTTAGGCTAAGTTGATGCTAAACCAAATGGGAGATTTTTTGGGATTTTTTGCACTGCACACATTTAGCCATTTATCAACACGTATCGACACATCACTACATTATTGGCTCATCTTAGAATATCTCTCATTTAGAACGCAACCTTAGCCTAACTCGCACACGTCCTTACTAGAATTTCGAGTAGTGCAAATTAGATAAATATTAGGTAAATTAGGTGTGACCATAGTGTAAATAAATATTTACATAAGTGCACTGCAAAAAATCCCTTGGAAATTTCAATTTACTTTACTTCAATATACTCGAACTCGCACACGGCCTAAAATATATAAATCACAACAAGAGTACTAAGCAACATAAATTTATCAAATATATAATTTTATACGTTTAAATACATTGCTTTATGGACGCCCCTAGTGATATATTTGTGTAAATTTATCGATAAGCTATGTCGCTGTCATTTGCGATAAACAAATGCAACTATGTAGAGACCACATAGTTTATTATTTCCCTCAATTTACCATCTATTTATTCGAATATGCACACGGCCTAAGTAACAAAATCAAAAGTATATATAAGTACGAGATAATTTTAAGAACTAATAACTGAAATAAATACTAATCTTTACAAATAATTTCAATAGTTACGAATCTTACAATTAATTTAATATTCGATAAAAATTGTGGTCTGGATATGAACATTTTGTTATGGTATTATACTGCATGTTATAATTTGATGATATAAGTGCAATTTTATATACATTTTGCGATTATTGTAAGTGAATATATTTGTTATAATTTAATACAATAATATTTAGATCTTTTTCGTAACTGATATGGCGTTTACACTGGCCAAAAATGGCTCATTTTGAAGGAGGCATTTGAAAGTGTTTACATTCGTTGTAATTCGTTTGTTATCATTTCAAACAGCTGATTTTTCAACTTACCTGTTCATTTGATTTTTGGCCTGTGCCAAAAAAAATGTTGCATGAAGATTTAGGACGTGTGCGAGTTAGGCTAAGTTGATGCTAAACCAAATGGGAGATTTTTTGGGATTTTTTGCACTGCACACATTTAGCCATTTATCAACATGTATCGACACATCACTACATTATCGCCACAACTTAGAATTTCCCTCATTTAGAACGCAACTTAGCCTAACTCGCACACGACCATAATATACCTTCATACCTTATAATATAAACTGAAAACATATTTTTCGATTAAGGACTTTTTGGGTAGTAGAAGTTCTAGAGGTGCATCGTTTTCAAGGAAATGCAACAACCAAACATTTGTTTGCCTTTTTTGTAAATATGTCAAAAACAGCTTTCTCAAACTGTTAAAATGTCATGAAAAGTTTTTATTTAGGGTATGTTTAATGTATTCCTTTGCATTTGAAACATATTTGGAATGCATTCGACCCTCGTTGGAACGCATTCATACAGAATGTGATTCATTTTCGATTTTTGACCAAAATGAACCATTTGAGGCCAGTGTAAAATGCCGTATTAGATCTATGACTGAATATTTAGTGGATATGAAGAAGAATATATTAATATTCCTAAATTATCTATAAATGAGTCTAATCGCATATCATTAAAATTTTTAATCTTATATATTTACGTATTTTTAAGCACCATGTTATATACACTGTTAGTACTATCATATTCATATTGTCAAAATAGTTGCGTATTGTATTATTTACAATTATTTTACTAAAGTTATAATGTATGTGGAATTCACAATTTTGAATTTATATCCATGTTCATAAAACATATAGGTCGTGTGCGAGTTAGGCTAAGTTGATGCTAAACCAAATGGGAGATTTTTTGGGATTTTTTGTACTGCACACATTTAGCCATTTATCAACACGTATCGACACATCACTACATTATCGGCTCATCTTAGAATTTCCCTCATTTAGAACGCAACTTAGCCTAACTCGCACACGTCCATAATTGGTTGTGTTTATTATTTTTAACCAAACTGGCATCACTATATTTGAATTGACATTTTACCGACATTTTGTCGGTAACAAATATGCTTTGACGGGGCACCATATTGTCGATAATGCTGAGCGTCCTTCTTTCTTTTTGACCACGTTCCGTGCGAGTTGTAGTTAATAAACATGAGCCTTACAATTTCTAAAAAACGCAAGGTAATTTCGTAAATTGCAATAAAATTTGTTTAATAATGTGTGGCTAACATTTGGAGTAGTGTATATGTAAAACTTTATAGTTTTAGATGTATAAAAAGTTGTTGAAATATACATTCTCAAAAGTTAACCTTAAAATAATTGTGCAGAAAAGTGTAGTGGGGCGGTATTAAACTATAACTTTAGTTGGCATTTAGTTGGCATTTATAACAAAATGGATTATAATAATACTAAAAGTTTGAAAAAAATTGTTGTTTGGATTTTAGATTCACCAATCTGTGTGGAAAAATCGCTTTTAGCGTCTTCACAGTAAACTATAATTTCGTGGATGTCCATGAGTGACTGCAATTGCTAATGTCTCATAAAATGGAATATTATCTGTTACATTCCTATTTACAAATCGTACCAGAATGTGAAGGCGCCAATAAGCTGTATTGCATATTAATATAATATTGTGAATTTAGAATATTGAAGGGAGTCAAAATTTAATATTTATTTTTTTTATATATATAGTTTTCTTCACTTTTCTATATTTTTTTGTGCGGTCTTTAACAAGCTTTTAATTATACATTTTTATTTTATAGTTCGTGTCCGATGGCATGTTCAAAGCTGAATTGAACGAGTTCCTTACTCGAGAACTCGCTGAAGATGGTTACTCTGGTGTGGAAGTGCGAGTCACCCCATCCCGTACTGAAATAATTATTATGGCTACCAAAACTCAACAGGTTTTGGGTGAGAAAGGCCGCCGCATACGTGAATTAACAGCTATGGTACAGAAGCGTTTCAACTTCGAACCTGGTCGTATTGAATTATACGCCGAAAAGGTAGCAACACGCGGTCTATGCGCCATTGCACAAGCTGAATCTTTACGTTACAAACTTACTGGAGGTTTGGCTGTACGTCGTGCCTGCTATGGTGTATTACGTTTTATTATGGAATCTGGTGCCAAGGGCTGTGAAGTTGTTGTATCCGGTAAATTGCGCGGACAACGTGCAAAATCAATGAAATTCGTTGATGGTCTCATGATTCATTCCGGTGATCCATGCAATGATTATGTTGAAACCGCCACTCGTCACGTATTGTTGCGTCAAGGTGTTTTGGGTATTAAAGTGAAAATCATGTTGCCTTATGATCCCAAAAACAAGATTGGTCCTAAGAAACCATTGCCAGACAATGTTTCGGTTGTCGAACCAAAAGAGGAGAAAATTTATGAAACTCCAGAAACAGAATACAAAATGCTGCCACCCAGCAAACCTTTGGATGATTTGGTTGAGGCACCTAAAGCTTTGTAAAATGTTTTTTATTTCTTAAATGTGAAAAAATACAAATATAATAAAAATGTAAGATTTTTAGATAAAAAACAATTTATTAAAGAATTTTTTTTTTTAGAATTTACAACTGTACTTGGGAAGATTCTGTTTGATACTAAATTATATATTTTGAAAAAATTAATCACGTTTATTAAAAGTTTTGAAATAAATTAAACTGGTTAGCAAAATAATTTAGTTACATCTATTGTCACAATACGTAATTTGATTTAGGAATAATATTTTGTAAGGCATCCCTAAGTTGTTGGTTGTGAGTAGTTGAATGCGTGAATGCAACATTATTATTAGATTGTGGAATGAAGTAGCTGTTAACATTAAGTAAAAACTAAAATTGTAAAAATTTATTGATTAAATAGTGGGCATATTTTTTAAAACTGAAGTTTGAAAGTTTCTTATAAAATTTTTATATCTCTATATCATTGAATTCATTCAGTTATTATTTTCATAAATTTAGATTATTTTTATAATTTTATTATATATACAAACTTTTCTATTGTTGTACCGTTCAAACCTTCAACACAGTAGTTTCTATTGAAATGGAGAATACTGGCGGAGATGCTGAACATGGTGAGGGAGAAGGTGAGGTAGAGGGAGAGAAAAAAGTATTTCATACCTATCCACTTGTCGTATATACCGACATGTCTGAAGAAATGCAAGGCGAAGCTGTTGAAGTAGTAACCATTGCTTGTGAAAAGTATCCATCGAATTTAGATCTTGCAGCGCGTCATATAAAACAAGTAATGGATGTTAAATATGGTGCTAGTTGGCATGTGGCAGTAGGTGAGTCGTTTGGCTTTGATGTACCCTATGAGACAAATCATATGCTGTTTATGTATTTTGGTGGCAATATGGGTATTGCACTTTGGAAATGTGCTTAATTAAAGTTAAGAATTAAGTTAAGTTTCCTAACGTAAATGCTGAAAATATTTTAAGATAAAATAAATCTATGAAGTGAACAAACCAAAGAAATGAAAAAATTAAGCCATCAATATCGGTCTTTTGGGTAATAAATAAATTAATTAATTTTTTTTTCAACTGAAAAATGAAACACAAACCATGCCCTTATTATGAAAAATAAGAAAAAAATCAAAATTAATTTATTATTCCTACTATATATTTTATATTTTTTTATATATAAGATAAATTATATATAACTGTTAAAATGTATGTAAAATGTGTACATATGTATGTATGTAGCATAATAAGACCTTTAAATTTGAAAAGAACTTAATGTTTCAATAGAAAAGATGTTTTATTTCTTATTATTTGTATGTTCTTTTTTATATATAACACTTTAAAATGTCATTCATTATTTGCATATTTTGTTTATGATTTATTATTTTTATACTATTAATAATTCCATGATTTGTATTAGGAAGTACATATATAACTTAATGCATAAGCATATACTATTTATCGCATAAGCATATACTGACATATCACATAAGCACTTAGAAATACAGTGACGAACAAAATTATTGGCACAGCAACCAAATTGAACTTTAGCACTATTTTTATCCTGTTAATGATGCGATTTTAAATAAAAAAAATTTTTTTTTAGATAAAATGTTTAATTTGCTTTTAAATTCATTTTATTTCATTTTATTTTCTCTTATATTTAATTTTTTAAAATTAAAAAACCAAAAAAAGAACTAAATTTGGCTGAACAAAATTATTGGCACAAAATTAAAAATTAAAAAATAAATTAAAAAAAATAATTTCGATAACAATTAATATTTAGTGGTCAAGCTCTTCTATTTAATAATAGCTACTATTTGTTTTGGAATCGAAAAAATCACTTTTTGTGTGGTTTTTGGTCCAAAATTTTGCCACTCTACAGCAGTGACACCTTCAGTTCTGTCATTGTTATTATAATGGGCTTCTTTGGACTTCTGTCTAATTCTATATTTTTACAACCAAATAAATGATAATAAATATAAATGATAAATAAAAATAAATAAATAAATAATAATAAATAAATGATGTATAAATGATAAAACTCCATGATTTGTATTAAGAAGTATATAAGATAAACAGTTACACTTCATCTCAACACCAAAGATCAAACGCAATCGATTGGTAATAGGTAATATAACACCATGGTCCGCAACTGTCAAGCCATCATGTGATACTTTGCGTGACAAAGTAACAGAGAATCAAGTAAGGAGAATAAATAGAATAAAATTTTAAATAAATCTTTAGGATTTTCAACCGAGAGTAGATTTTATAACAAACCTTTATAATGTTCAGTTCTGTTCAAGAAAGTGCTTCCGTTTTTTAAGGAATAAACATTAAATGTTTTATTATTGTTTAAATAAAAACAATATTAAATATTAACTTATATACAAGTTTCATATGATTTTTACTAGACATGCCAAAAAATCTCATATATCCTCATATATCCATAATATAATAAAAAAATTAAGTAAAAAAACATACAAAAAAATATTGACCTAATAGGATCTTTCCAAAAAATTACCAGAACTTAAATGAAGATGATCTTTGAACCCACATAAGTGGCAAATGAAATAATACCTAATCTTAATACCGTATAAGATATTTAATTAACAGATATATAATATTCAATTTTTGTATAAAACGTAATTAATTCTTAGCGGTTATGTATATTTTGTTATATTACCACATCAATAATAAATACATCAGGCTAAAGTCAAACTAGAAAGATATAGCCAGAAAGAAAGATAGATAGTTAATCCAGATAAGATATGATCAAATGGTCGTCGATTACCACATTTGATATTGCTTACAATGGTTAAAGTTTTTTTACCTTATATTAAAAGCTATGCAAAATGTAATAATCATTTGGTATTCCCCGTAAAATGGCCCCAAGTCGAAAACATGTTTTTGTCCAAGTCTTAACAGCAAGTGGGGCAATCATACTGTTAAACCTTATATAAAATCCTTCCAGCAGATAAACGTTTTTGAGATGGTGAATATTTTTTTGTGAAGGAAGCTTAAGCCATATTCGATAGAAAATAAATTTAAAACTTGTAAAGTAAGAGGACTGTAACTTAATAGAAACTTCGCTATTTCTCTTGTACCGTTTGGTGTATCATCCTCCGTTTGGATTATGTCTGCTGATAATGTTGTGCAGACAAACATTCCTTCGAGGAAGGAATGTTTAAACTCAGATTAAGACATTAAATTTTTTTTTTGGATAAAACTAAGAAAGTATGACTTTGTGTTACTAGGATTGAAGGAGTGATAAGGGTGTTGAGGACCTTGCTAGTCTTGATCCTCTATATTAGTATTATTATTATTATTATAATAATATTAAGTGAACATTTATTGTATTACAAAGGTTTACGCATTCTGAAAGGTAATGCAAGGACAGTATGAAGGTCTAGAATTTTACGTGGATACCTGCCGTGAAGGCTCAACACCACGGCATTCTTCACTTACGCATCGGTATATTTCATCGATAAATGCCCCATTGGAACACCGAGGAATTCCACCGATACCAGTTGAAATTATATGTTTGGACATAACATCATCCTTGGTAAGGAGCGATACTTATCTAACACCTCTGCTGATTTTTGAGTCACAGCACGCGGTTGGAAAATGTAACTCCCATTTACATCGAATGATTGTTAACGAATACAATCATTGTACTCGCGTAAATTTGGGTTTTAACCACAACTAACTCGGCACTTTCTTTAAGGAGCCAACCTAGAGCAGACAGACTATTGGAATTTACAACGACTTTCACTTTTGAGGTCATACTTGAGTGCAAGTTTGATAGCATAGAATTCTGCCGTAAAAACAGATCCGGATAAACCATTATAATTATCCAAAAAGCAAATATTTTTGAGGTGTACTTCTCTTTAGGTATTGTCTTTATTGACCAAAAACAAATTCTGACATATAACATACTAAGAACCAAAGATGAATCAAAATGTAACAAAACAAAAAAAAAATTCTGTACGTGATTATGTTTGGTCAAACACTCTAAAAATCGAATTTTGCACATAAAGTGATCTAGGTTAATGACAGGAAGTCCATACTCAATTATCTTAAACATCATTTATTTCTCGGTTATACCATGACCCGTGGAAACTTAAGTATCTGATGGACTCATTATATGGATAATCTAAATTTTGTAAAAATTGATGACACATGTATTTCAGTTTAATTTTATATAGGATTGAGAAGTATTAAGGTGTCCCCTGATTCAAGCACAACTAAACAGGATCAACAGGGGGCACTAGCCAACAGCTGCAGTATTATAACATCCAATTAAAGAACATATTAAATAGTTGATTCTTGATTAATACTTGTTAGGATACAAAGCTCTCACCCTGCACATTTAGGTACTTAAACAAGTACAGAAATGTCAGGTTAGTACATCTTTATCTAATGGGGGAAACATTAAGCCTTGATATTACAACCGGCCATTATTTCAACTTAAGTGGGCTTTGAGCATAAGGTCGCCAATTAAGATTCTGTGAGAGAGATATTGGTTTCTCTCATGTCATAGACTACTTATTCACTGCATAGATATGACTAATAACATAGATGGCAAACATTAAACTGAACTTATTTTCGATAATAGGTGAAATATCGAATTACTTTTAATATACGTTTGATCAATTCAAAATAAATAACCACCAAATTCAAGATTAGCAGCAAGTAAGCGTGTTTTTGAGATGGCAGGTATTTCTGTGTAGGAAACAATAGCAAAATTTTATAGAAGACAGAATTTATTGCCAATCAGGTAACTGCAGGTCAACACAATAGGAACTTCGCTATTCCTCTTGCACCGTTTGGCTTAAGCCATTATCTTCGTTAGGTTGAATTACGTTTGCCTGATAATTTGTTTTCATATTTGTATGAGTTCTAAGGTTGGTATTAGAGACTTAATGAGGACACATGTAATTTTAGTGTTAAAAATCGAGGATAGGAATAGGGACTAAATGTAATTATAATTTATTTTGGCAGCCCTCTATTTAGATTGAACTAGCTCTCTTTGTCACAGTAACAAACAATATTTAGAGTTTGGCTACCTTACAATATATTGAAGTTTGCAGCTACCATATAAGCAAACCTCAAGTATCTTAGAAATTTCTGCTGTATGAAATTTTTTTCTAAGTATGGTCACTAGAGTAATAAATTGGTTTTTTGGTTTTCTGGTCGAGTATAGAAATACAAGAAAAAGTATTTATACTTATTAGTTTTTAAGGTTATTACTTTAACATATAATTTCTATTTGTTTGGTTATAAATATCCTTGTCAAATATGTTGATCTAACTTTTTGCGTATAGTCACATAAAAGCTGCATTGAATGTGGAAACTTCATTCCAGTAATCATGAGAGAGAGACGGAAGCAGTTAGGCTTAATACCTAGTGGGTTAGGTGCATCTAAGTCAAAAGCAATGGTATAATTTAGGGAGATCGGGTGATAAGGAGGGGGATGGTTTTATAGCCCAAGCGCAGGGGTGACATTAATGGATTTTGGTCCCACTGTTTAAAGTGATGGAACAGGTATTGGGGATTTAAAGCGCAAAGCTTGAACAAGGACTTCAAGAGTGTATTGGGAATGGCGACGTCAGGGGGAATGTCTCACCTAAGGGGTTGTTTTAGTAGTATATTATATGTGTAGTAAACATGAATGATTCATAAATCATTTGCATCATTTTTGTGCCGAAGGTCGGTGCAGAGCAGAGAATAAATCGTTATAAGCGCTCTCAGCTGTTTGTATAAATTAGGTAGATGTACAGAAATGTACAGAAAAGAGAGTCAGAATGCATATAAATGAAACACAGTCAATGATTCGAGTATGATTCGAGTGTTTAGTAATCATTGCAGTTCTTTGATGCATATCTTTGTCCATTAGAAGATGAAAAAAATCTTTGGGGTCCCTTTTCCGACAGATGTAATAGAGCTGTCATCTTTCAAAATTAGGTACATAGCCAAGTTTAAATATTAATTAGATTTTGATTAGGTTTACTTTTATCTAAATAGAATTTTTTTACGTTTTTTGTACGCTGACCACTTGGGTTGTCCTATCCTTTTTGGCGGTAATTCTAGGCTAGCGTATGAATTACGTTATTATTTATGCTTTAGTGGGCCT